TCTTCCCCAGGTGTTGGGGTTAGATGTGTCCCTGTTCCAAGCTGCATCTGCTTTTCTCTGTCCCTGGTTCTGTCTACCTCTGCGAACCGCCACCAGGCCTGTATGTCTCTGCCAGCTGCCGCTGGGCCTGTATGTCTCTGCTGGCTGCCGTCGTGGGCCTACCTACCTCTGCTTGTCACTGCTGCCAGGCCCGTCTACCTCTGCGGGCTGCTGCCGGGCCTGTATGTCCCTGTCAGCTGCCGCTGGGTCCATCTACCTCTGCAGGCCGCCACCGGGCCTGTATGTCTCTACTGGCTGCCGCCGGGCCTGTATGTCCCTGTCGGCCGCTGCCGCCGGGCCCGTCTACCTCTGCGGGCCGCCGCTGAGGACCTACCTGAGTCTGCTTGTCTCCACCGTCGGGACTGTCTTTAAAATTATTCTTACATGTGCTGTTCTTTGGCTCAGTTACAAGCAAAACAGATTCATTTATTCCTCGAGTTACAATGCTCCAATATAGAAGTATTCTTTTAGAACAGTATGTTCATATGCTCTGGTCTAGTCATAAATATACAGTTTCTTATTCACCTAATCTATTGGGAAAACTCTGGCTCTATAGCCATAATAAACTGTAGAATAATGCAAGAGTGGCAAAATATTTGTGGGAATATTCTTTTGAAAAAAATAAAAAGATAGGTGTGATGAGTCATATTTTCTTTTAAGTAAATCATTAGAGACTGGTGTACTTTCTTTTATCCTTTTACAAGCTCAGGAATGGAGACAGCACTGAAATTTTGGACAAATCAGCTGTTGTTGAAATTTATAAAACAGATTTGCAGTTCCCAATTTAAATTTCATAGTTGGCTGAGAATCCAGCTGTGTTGGCTCAGTAAGAGTGTAATAGAAGGTTAGATTTGTGCTATCATCTGACAGCATCCAAGGAGGAACACAGGCTCCAGGGAAATGTAGGAAGGAATAAGAATAAATATTCTACACACACACACACACACACACACACACACACACACACACAGATGGACAGATGGATGGACGGAGGTTCACAAATAGTTATTTTTCCCTCTGAAAGAATCTGTTAATTAGCATAAAACGAAGAGGGTTTTTGACTTCATTGTAGAAATAACTGACTTGGTATCTAATTTGTCAGTGTAAAGCATTTAGTAGAACGTCGACCCTCATGTCCAGAGGAGAGAAGAGTTGTCTGCTTTGCACAGTGAGTCAAATGGCCAACTAGAGTGAATGTAAACAGGCCTGGTGCCAAACGCAAACTCACCTACAGTTAAGGTATTTTTAACTGTTTGCAGTCTTTTGACTTGTTTCCTTTAGCTTGGTATCTTAAAAATTCACATTCTTAAGGACAATACACTAGAATACTATGCAAATACGTTCCTCACTCCCAAGTTGGGTAAAAAATGCAGAGTTCTAGTCCTAAAATAAAGGCTGTCTTTTGCAGTGACAAGATCATGTCCACTTTTTACTCTTTGCTCATGGTGGCCTTGCAGTTTCTCTAATGAAAAAAATCTAGTTATGCTTTTTGGTGAGAGATTCTTGGGAGCACTTCTTAAACTTCATTCATAAGAAGAGAGGGCTCTCTGGGCGGTGGTGGCACACGCCTTTAATCCCAGCACTTGGGAGGCAGAGCCAGGTGGATCTTTGTGAGTTCGAGGCCAGCCTGGCCTACAGAAAGAGATCCAGGAAAGGCACAAGTCTACACAGAGAAAACCTGTCTCAAAAAACCAAAAAAAAAAAAAAAGTCTTCATTCATTAAAATATTTAAAAAAGAAAAGAAGAGAGGGCTCTTGAAAGCATCCAAATTCTCTTCATTCTTTACTAAACCATAAATATATCCCAAGAATTCATGATCTTGCTTCCACAATCCCCTATTATCTAATGCAATTTGTGTTCTGAACATAAGAGAGAGAGAGAGAGAGAGAGAGAGAGAGAGAGAGAGAGAGAGAGAGAGAGAGCAGAGAGAAAGAGGCAGAGAGAGAGGAGAGAGAGTTACAAACAAGGTTTTGGTAAGCTGCTGTGAAGTTGAGTGGGTGTCTTAAGTTTGTTAACTGTGAAGAGACACCATGACCACATCAACTCTTATAAAGGAAAACATTTAATTGGGGCTGTCTTACAGTTTTGAGGTTTAGTCCATTATCATCATGGCAGGAAGCATGGTGGCATGCAGACAAACATGGTGCTGGAGAGGCAGCTGAGAGTTCTACATATGGATCCATGTGCAGCAGGCAGAGCCTATGACACACTGGCCAGGTTTGAGCATCTGAGATCTCAAAGCCTGCCCCTAGTGTCACACTTCCTCCAACAAGCCCATACCCCTTAATAGTACCACGCCCTATGGGCCAAGCATTCAAACACATGAGTCTATTTGGGCCATCATTTCTATTGAAGCCACCCAGCTGGGAAACAGTGCCTGTATCACTGCAAAGCCACAGGCTGGAGCCTACCCCAGGGATCCATTGTTCAACATTCATTAGTTGCATATTTTTCTCCCATAAAAGGAGTATTTCTTGTATTTAGAGATTAAATAACACATGACAGCAGTGAGAGTTACAATTACTTACTGGAGTTTAATTATTCTTTGAAGAACTATGCAGCCATCCAATGTATTTTCTTCCAAGACAATGCACTACTTCAGTTTTGCTGATGCTAGGTTGATGAGTTGGATTTTGCCTGAACAGTAGGGTATTGCTACAAAAGGTTACACCCCAAATTCCTATCCCAGAAGTTTCCAGCACATTGTCACTGTATAAGAAAGATGGGCACAAGCTTTTGTACACTTTACAATATATACAAAAGAGGTAATATATCAAGAATCGCCAGCTTTGACTTGTCTGCTATGTACTATGCTAACAATGTCATTATTTTATCTAGGTAGTCTCATCTCATAGCTCAGGCTAGGGCTAAACTCTAGATCCTCCTGCCTCTATCTTTCTCCTGCGTACTTGGATTAAAACTGAGCATCACCACACTCAATTTACTTATCTTTATAAAACACCTTAAATGATTATTTTATTCAAACTTTGATAATCATTGATCCAACTGGGATAGAAATTAGCATTTTTGTTTGTAAAAAAGTAAGTTGAAGTCTATAGACTTTATTTAATTAATATAAGGTCCTAGAAGGACAATAGGGAATATTCAATCTGAAACTAGAACTGAAGCTGGCAAATACCATGTTTTCTTCCCCCATGGCTGCAGAATCAATCTGCCTTTGATATTCCAAGCAGATGTGGGAGAGGCACAGGTTGTGAAAATCCATCTGGGGGCAGGTATAAGAATAAGAGACACATTGAGGCAAATATGCTCAGTCTGAGGTATAGATCTTGGCAGGCAAGTTCAAGGTTTAAGGGAATGCCAAGTTCACCCAATTAAAGAGGTTTTTGTGTCCAAGAAACTTGCTCAGTGTTAATAAGAGTGGACGCTTAAAAATTCAAGATGGGTGCAAATACACAAATACATGTGTGATGACTATTCTTGGTTGTCAATTTGACTACACCTGAAATTAATTAAATCCCAAATGATTTGGACATACCTACAAGGGAATTTTTCTTAATTAAATCAGACACCAGGGCACGGAGCGCATCTGCGGAAGCAGATCCCGAAGGGTGCGGGTGGGCCTGTCAGAGTGCTGGGATTTGAGCTTCGGCTGTTTGAACCCAGGATCTCAAAATGCATCGTGATTCCTGTCCATTAGATTATAAGGTGTATGTAGGCAATCTTGGAAACAATGGAAACAAGAATGAATTAGAACGGGCTTTTGGCTATTACGGACCACTCCGAAGTGTGCGGGTTGCTCGAAACCCTCCTGGCTTTGCGTTCATTGAATTTGAGGATCCCCAAGAGGCTGCTGATGCTGTCCGAGAGCTCGATGGAAGAACACTATGTGGCTGCCATCTAAGAGTGGAACTTTCGAATGGTGAAAAAAGAAGTCGGAATCGTGGCCCACCTCCCTCCTGTGGTCGTCGCCCTCGAGATGATTACCATAGGAGAAGTCCTCCACCTCGGCGAAGATCTCCAAGAAGGAGAAGCTTCTCTCAAAGCCGGAGCAGGTCACTTTCTAGAGATAGGAGAAGAGAAAGGTCTCTGTCTCGCGAGAGAAATCACAAGCTGTCTCGATCCTTCTCTAGGTCTCGTAGCCGATCTAGGTCAAATGAAAGGAAGTAGAAGGCCAGTTTGCAAAAGAAGTGATGTACAGGAAAGGACTTCATTTGACAGGAGTATGTACAGGAAATTCAAGTTTGTTTGAGACTTCATAAGCTTGGTGCATTTTAAAGATGTTTTAGCTATTCAAATTTGTTTTGTCTCTTGGAACAGTGACACACAACGATGTAATTCTCTGTGGTTCCAAATGGATCCTAGAAGGCATGTAATATCAAGAAGTGTTACTTTACAATGTTCCCTTAAGCAAGATTGGATTTGCTTTGAACTTTAGTTTTTCATAGACTGAAATAAAACTAGATCCTGCCCAGTTAAAGTGTGATGTGCTAATGATATAGAAAGAGCTGGCAGAAATGGAAAAAGCTGTAGTTTCTCTAGTAGCTGGGATACGTGTGGAGCTGTGGGGGAATGATAAGCAGTCTTTAAAAGCTGCCATGAACACAAGCCAACAGGTAAAGGGTGGGAACTGCACTCCTAAGGCTTGCAAAGAGGTTCCTCACCATTTGCTATAGATGGACAAAAAGCTGTTTGTAACATTTTATTTGAAATGGAAGGCTTTAAGTTAGCAGTGTCCTATCAGTTTAAGGGTACATTGTAGAGCTGAACTTTTGAGTTACTGTGCAAGATATCTTTTTCATGCTGTCATTTGTAATATGTTTGTGAGAATCCTTGGGATTAAGTTTTGGTTACAAAAAAAAAAAAAGAAAGAAAAGAAAAAGAAAAAAGAAAGACCCTCTAAGACAGATCTTTGAGGTGGGAAGATAGACCTTTTAATTCATATCTTTTGAGGTAGGAATACCAACCTATAATCCAGACCATACCTTCTGTTGGCTGCCTATTTAAAGGACATGAAAGAAGGAAGCTTGCTCTCTCTCTCTCTCTCTCTCTCTCTCTCTCTCTCTCTCTCTCTCTCTGTGTGTGTGTGTGTGTGTGTGTGTGTGTGTGCTTGCACTAACTTTTGCTACCAAATCCATTCTTTCACTGGCATCAGAGCTTACTTCTTCAGGGTTCTGAAGACTAGCTAAGACATCCAGCCCCATGGACTAAACAACTGCTGATTCTTGAATCTTCCATTCATAGACAGCCATTGTTGGAATAACTAGATGGAGGATGGGGCAGAATTCATTCTATAAGTTCTGTTCCTCCAGAGAACCCTGACTAATATAACATCCTACAGTAGACAAAGAGGAAACAGAAACCACAGAATAAAACACCCATCCAACAAAGAAAAATCAGGGACTATAACTAATCATTCCAAACCCAGATACCTAAACACCAGCATAAAATCATAATCAACAACAGCCAGGATAATATGGGACCACTAAAGCCCAGCTATCCTATGACAGCAAGACCTGAATATTACAATGCAACATACAGGAAAATGACCTTAAAAACAGCTTTATGAAGTGCCTGCATAAAGAAATTAGAGAATTCTCATACCAGTGACTTAACAGCACACCTTCCAAAAGCAAAAATTCAATGCAATCCCCTGTAACATGAATCTTAAAAGACCTTCTTAATAAAAACAAATCCAGAGCCAGATATTGGGGTGAATTCTGAAAGATCAAAGAAGCAGAATAAGCCACAGCTAACCTCACCTCTCCAACTCCTCAGCTGATCCTGTTTCCTCAAACTTTTGGAAGCCTCTGGGTCCTCATCCAAATGGATCTCAGCTGAACTGCTGGTAAAAGCCTCAAAGCTTAAAAGGCCAGTAGTTCCTGGTCCTAAGGCCTTATATACTTTTCTGCTTCCTACCATCACTTCCTGGGATTAAAGGCATGTATCTTTCCTAAGAAAGACATGAGATCCCAAGTCCTGGGATTAATGTGGTTGATTTATTTTGTACCCTAATAAACTTATCTGAGGGTCAGAGAACAAGAACAGCCACTAGATTAGACATAGAGGCGAGAAAATTGTGGCACACATGCCTTTAATTCTTTTACTTGGGAGGCAGATATCCATCTAAATCTCTGTGATTTCAGGGTCACACTGGAAATAGCCAGGCATGTTGACATACACCTTTAATCCCAGCACCAACCATAGAGGTCTGGAGGTCTATACAGACAGACAGGAAGTGACAAGGCTGGGCAGGAAAAGAAAGTGATGTAGCTGGACAGAGAGCAAATCAGATGCAGAACAGCAAGGCATATAGGCATGAGTAGACAGGAAGTATCTCACTTTTTGGAAACTGAAGAGTTAATGAGATGAGGTGTGACTGTTCCTATTCCTCTGACCTCTCTCAAGTTTTCACCCCTACATCTGGTTCTGTGTTTTCTATTAATAAGACCATTTAGAAATTAAACTACAATTCCCATCACAATTCTTTACAGACTTTGAAAGGATAATATTCAACTTCATATGGAATAACAAAAACTCAGGATAATTAAAACAATACTGTACAATAAAAGAACTTCTGGAGGTATTACTATCTCCTATTTCAAGTTGTTTTACAGAGGAATAGTAATAAAAACCAAATGATATCAGTATAAAAACAGACATGTTGATCAATGGAATTGAATCAAAGATCTAGAAGTAAATCCACATGCCAATGGACACTTGATTTTTGACAAAGAAGCCAAATATATACAATAAAAAAAGAAAGCATCTTCAACAAATGATGTCAGTCTAATGGGATGTTGACATGTACAAGAATGCAAATAGATCCATATCTATCACTGTGCACAAAACTCAAGTCCAAGTGGATTAAAGACCTCAACATAAAACCAGACACAGTGAACCTGATAGAAGAGAAAGTTTGGAATACCCTTGAACACACTGACACAAAAGACAACTTCCTGAATTGAACACCAATCATGCAGGCACCTAAGATCAGCAATTAACAATGGGATTTTCGTGAAACTGAAAAGCTTCTGTAAAGAAAGGACACTGTCAAAGGGACAAAACAGCAGCCTACAAAGTGGAAAAATATCTTCACCAAACCCACATCTGATACAGGGCTAATATACAAAATATATAAAGAACTCAAAAAACTAGACATCAATAATTCAAATAATCCAATTAAAAATAGGTACAGATTTAAACAGAAAATTCTCAATAGAGGAATCTCAAATAGGAGGAATAGAGGAATCTCATTAGAGGAATCTCAAATGTTCAACATCCTTAGCCATCAGAGAAATGTAAATAAAAACCATACTGAGATTCCATCTTACACCTGTCAGAATGACTAAGATCAAAAACATGGTGACAGTTTATGCTGGAGTGGCTGTGGAGCAAGGGGAACACTCTTCCATTGCTGATAGGAATGCAAACTTGTACAGTCACTTTGGAAATCAATGCCACTATTTCTCAGAAAATTGTGAATCAATCTACCTCAAGACCAAACTATGCTACTCCTGGGCATATACCCAAAGGATGCTTCACCAAAAGGATACTCGCTCAACTATGTTCATAGCAGCTTTAGTCAAATAGGCAGAAACTGGAAATGGCCTAGATTCCTTCAACCGAAGAATGGATAATGAAAATATGTTACATTTACACAATAGAGTATTAGCTGTTAAAAACAATCCCACCAGGAAATTTGCTGGCAAATAGATGGAACTAGAAAAGATCATCCTGAGTGAGGTAACCCAGACACAGAAAGACAAACATGGTATGTACTCACTCATAAGTAGCTATTACTCATAAAGATGAACCATGCTACAATCCACAGAACCAGAGAAGCTAAGTAACAAGGAGGGCTCAAGGGGAGGGGAGGATACATGAAAGAGAAATAAAAAGGACATTACCAGTGAATGGGGGAGGGGTCTTAAGTGGGGGTGGGATTGAAACAGGAGGGATCAGGTGGAGGGAGGATGGAGGGAGATAGTACTGGAATCTGGAGGCATCTCAGATGAGTTAGAAACCTAGAGCAATGGAAACTACCAGGAATCTATAAGGGTGACCCTAGCTAAGACTCCTAGCAATAGGTGATAGAAAGCCTGAACCAATCATTTTCTATAACCAGACAAGACTTCCAGGAGAGGGACTGGGACACCAACCTAGCCATAAATCCTTCAACCTACACTTTGTCCTGTCTACAAGATGTGCTTGGGTAAAGGTGGCACAGAAATTGTGAGAATGACCAACTAATGACTGGCCCAGCTAGAGATCCATACTCTGAGAGGGAGCTCACCCTGAGGGCCAGGACCCAGAGGCAGAATATCCCAGAGATCTAGGATAGACCCAAACAGGACTGGTACAAAAAAAAAAAGCCAATGAAACGATTCCTAATGATGTTTTGCTATACTCATAGATTGGTGTCTAGCCTAAGTGTCATCAGACATCAGAGAGGCTTCACCTAGAAACTGATGGGAATAGATGCAGAGTGCAGAGACCCACAGCCAAATATAAGGTGGAGCTCAGGGAATTCTGTAGAAGGATTGTAGGAGCCAGTGGAGTTAAGGACACCACAACTCCCGGCCCCCAAGCCCCCCTACCACCCAGTCAACTAAACCAGGCTTATAGAGACTGAATCAACAACCAGTGAGCCTGGATGGATCTGACCTAGGCACCTACACACACACACTTTTCTTTTTTGGTTTTTCAGGACAGGGTTTGTCTGTAAAATAGTCCCGGTTATCCTGGAACTCACACTGTAGACCAGGCTTGACTCTTAACAGTGAAAGCAGGGCTGTCTCTGACTCTGTTGCCTGCTTTTGGGACCCATTCCTCCAACAGATTGCCTCACCCAGGCTTAATAGAAGAGGAGGTGCCTAGTCTCTCTGCAAATTGATATATCAGGGCTGGCTGATATCAATTGGAGGCCCTTCTGTATCTGAAGAGAAACAGAGGAGGAAGGGGATGGGGGAACAGAGGGGAGGAAGCAGGGAGGAACTGAGAGAAGAAACAAAAACAACAAAAAAGGATTAAAATAGCTGAGTTCAATACATTCTACAAAATTATAATAACCAAAACATCTTTGTTGAGATCCTTGGGTAGACATATGAAAAGCACCATCAGTGCAACAATCCCCACATGGCATACACTGATAAGTGACTTCTTGGGAATAGAAAAAAATGTCACCTGATGTGGAGGCTCACAAAGGTTACCTAGTGAGGTCTGAGCTTGCTTTACCCATCAGGGCTGCATTAGAGGATTGCTTGACCATGTGCATGGTTACTAGGTGATCGGAAGGGTCTATGCTTGGCTGAGTTAGGGGGAGATCTTTGCTCCACCCCTTGGCATTCCTATAAATAGCCCTTTAGAAGAGACAGAAGGAGCCAGTGGATAATGATCCAGCCCCCCCCACCCCCAGGATATCCTGTGTTTCTATCTGTTTCTCTCCCCTCTATCCTTCTACATCTATTTCTACCCAATGCTCTTATCTCTCTCTTCTCAAGAGTTCCCTGCCTTAAAAAGTGGGAGTTGGTCCCCTACAACCTGATAAATATATTGGAATTGTAGGGGCACATAGATATATTAATCCTATATTATATCATAATAAAATCTAAACTGAGTCCTTATGGGACACTACACTGATTTGATTATTATACCTTGTATACAGAACTCAACCACTCTACATTTAGATATTTCAGTATTAATATGTCAAAAAAATTGAAACCAATTAGAAATGTGACTTCTCAGTTGCAGTGTGAAAACAGTTGGGTGGAATCAACAGTTATCAAGAGTCAGAAAACTATACTCCCCAGGGTAGTGATCAATTCTATTTTTTCAAATATTAACCTATGGTGGTATTTTATTTGAACTGAAATGTGATTTTAATTGTATTTTAATAAATAAAGTTGCCCGGGGGTCAGAGATATTAGAGCCATAGCAAGAGCAGGGCGGTGGTGGCACATGCCTTTAATCCCAGCACTTGGTAGACAGAACTAGGTAGATCTCTGTGTGTTCAGGGATACAGCCAGCATTGGAGACATACACCTTTAAGACCTGGAGGGCTGTACTTACAGGCAGTGATGAGTCATGTGTTTGGGTTTACAACCAATGAGAAGGCAGAACAGAAAGACTATATTAAAGACAAACACACAGGAAGTAGGTCTCTTTCGGAGAGGTAGGAGCACCACAGGAGGAAGGGTAAGGTTTTAGCTCTTAGCTCTGACCTCTTGGCTTTCTCTTTTACATTGGTTCTGTGTTTCTTATTTAATAAGACGAGTGGCTACATCTACATTAACCAATTCTAAGTTTTGGAATCTTTTATATTTTTCTAGTAATTTTGAAAAGTTTATTGTTATAAGCAATAGTTAACCTGAAGTGCTGTGAAGGCCTGAGCAAATTCCTCTTATGTAATTGTTCTGGTGATTCTAACTTCTCTTTTGCCCATTCACTCCTTTTAGTTTTTTCAAATCTCTAGTAATCATTATTCCACTTCATTCTTCAAGACACAGACCTTTTTGTTTCCACAAATAAGTGAAAGTATGTGATGTTTATCTTTGTCTGGTAATTTTATTTAACACAATTACAACTAGTCCAATTATGTTTTACATGATGAAATTTACTTCTCTGTGACTAAATAATATGCCATTATGAATATAGTTCCTTTCAAATTCATTTGTCTACCCATAGATACCTTGGCTGACTCCCTATCCTGGCTCTTGTAAATACTGCTGCAATAAACATGAACATATAAATGTCCTTGGTGTAATGATGAATTTCCTTTGGATATTTATCAAATAGTGAGGTTGTAGGTTTAGTTTTTAAAGGGCTTTCCAAACTGTTTCCATAATGGATGCATTAATGCACTAACTCACATTCTCAGCATAAATGGATTTGCTCACCTTCCTTCTGTTTTTTTTTCCCTACAGTAGCCTGTCTTACTGGATTGAGACTATGGCTTTTTGTGGTTTGGCTGTGTCTTTCCCTAATGACTATTGGTATTGAGTTTTTTCTGTATATTTGTTGGCCTGCTGTATGACTTGATTGCAGAATGTGTATTCAGATTTTACCTCATTATTCAATTGTATTAAGTGATGTGTGTGTGTGTGTGTGAGAGAGAGGGGGGGCAGAGAGAGAGACAGAGAGACAGAGGGATGTTGAGTATCTTTCTTTATCACTTCTCAACTTATTTTTGAGACAAGGTCTCTCACAGAACCTAGAGCTCAATGATTGGCCAAATATGGCTGGCCAGTGCCCAAGGATTCTTCTATCTCCATACCTCACATGTATCACTATGCCCAGCTTTTTCATGTGGATGCTGGGAATCTGAATACAAGTCCTGGTGTTTGTGCTTGTACACTAGGCACTTTATCAATGGAACCACTTCCCAGTCTTTTTCCTATATATTCTTGAGATCAGGCCAGTATTAGGTGGGAGGATAATCAGACTTCAAATATTTTCTCCCATTCTATATGCTGTCTCCTAAATCTGTTGATTATACCCAATGTTAGGTAGAAGCTGTAACAACACAGTAGGGTGGTAAGTTGGTCTGTTGGTGAATCAAAGCCAGCAAGCACAAACAGGAGACAAAAGAATGAAGAAGACTGTTTTAATCACAGCAAGCACTGGACTATTGAAGGTAATTCTCAAGGTAGTGAATTCTCTAGTCAAAGAAAGCAAGGAGCTGGAATTGGGTAAAATGCATACATATATACATACATACATACATACATACATACATACATACATACATACATAGGACATACTCAGTTTGAGACCATGTCTGGCATGTTCAAAAAGGATAGACATGAATGCCTCTTGGGTAGAGAATTCAAAATTGTAATAAGCAAATTGTACCCTAGCTCACATAAAAAGAATGTGTCAGAATAACTTAGCAATGTTAGTGTTTTTCTTTTAAGTTGTTAAGATGAAACAACAAACAACAGAAAAAAGAATAACAACCTTTGAAGGTATGTTGACAGTCATTCAAGTGAAGTATCCTCCCTATCTTATAGAACTTACTCCATGAAATGTCTGCCTAGTAACCAACTTTCTTGGTTTGATATAAACCCACTTATCTATTTTTATTTTTTCCCTGTTCTTTGGGGCTTGCCTTAGTTTCTTTTCTTAAAATGTTATGTTCAAAATTACTAGAAAATTACTCTGATTTGATCATTAAACCTTGTATACAGAAGTCAAGCTACAGTCTCTCTCTCTCTCTCTCTCTCTCTCTCTCTCTCTCTCTCTCTCTCTCTCTCTCTCTCTCCATATATCTATATAACCCCAATGAGCAGAGTGGCTCCTTTGGCCATGTAAGGCTCAAACTGGAAATTGACTATAGACACCTCACAACGTGTTCATATCATCCATTTAACTGATGCTTATTCAATATTTCCTAAAACTTAGTAGCCATTAAGGACAAAATGAACAAAACAGATAAGCCTCTTGCCTTCAAGAAAGCTACATTTGCATATAGAAGAACAATAATACATAAATAAATAACATTTGACCAGGAAGAAATAGAAGGGGGTGAATAGTAGAGCTTGTTCTGATTCAGCGTTCTCATGAAATACCCTTCTGAGGAGGTGGTGTTTAAATAGAGTGTCAGGTAAGGGAGGAGTGATTCATGCTAATGCATGGGGCAGAGGCATCCTAGACATAGAATACAAAAGGTGTAGAGACTGAGGTGAGACCTTCTTGATCACATAAGGAAACCCAAAGAGGCTGGCGGGGTTGCAGCTGAATGTACAAGCAGAAAAGACATAGGAAAGAGGCTGCTTATAGGCAAGCTATGCTGTTGGGGAGTTTCAGTCTGACTCAGTTAAGGACTCATTCTGTTGGGGAGAGTTATAAACTATGTCTAACCCTCCTGAAGTTCTAACAACAAACCTAGACACATTTCATCAAATTCAACCATGGGCAACTAAATTTATTAGGCTTCTTTGCAGAGCGGTGCCTGAGGGATTATGAGCAGGAGATGATACACTGTAACATCTGCTCCCCATAAGGATGATGGCTTCCCCTTCTGCATAATTGGAACCCCCTCCTCTAATTCTTCCTCACTTACATCTTCTAGCTCCTCCTAAAGACCCAGAGTCATTTGTTTTTCTGTTTGTTTTATTTTAATCTGTTCTTTCATATATTACATTCCAACTGCAGCTTCCCCTCCCTCCCATCCTATAATCCCCTCCTCTCCCGCAGATCCACTACTCCTCTTTTCCCTTCAGAAAATGACAGGCTTCCCAGGGATAGCAACTAAACATGGCATATCAAGTTGCAATAAGACTAGGTACCTCCTCTGTAGCCAGAAGTTTGTCCAGTCCCACCCCGCCCTGTGGTCCCGCAGGCACTTATAAAATAATCAAGAGGCTTAACATTAATTACAAACTGTATGGCCTAGGGCCCAAGCTTCTTGCTAAATAGCTCTTATAACTTAACTCAACCCATTTCTATTAATCTATATATCACCTGCCATGTGTTCTGTGTCTTTACCTGGGTCCCATTACATGTTACTCCTTAGACAGCATGCTGGTGTCTCTCCAACTCTGCCCTTCTTTCTGTATCTCTGCTTGAATTTCTTACTTGCCTCTAAGCTGCCTTGCCATAGGCAAGAGCTGCTTTATTTACAAGCCATTGGGAATAACACATATATTCACAGTGTACAGAAAGACATCACACAGCACTCTCCTCATATTAAGGCTGGATAAGACAACCAAGTAGGAGGAAAAGGGTCACAAAATAAGGTAAAAGAGTCAGAGATAGCCCCAGATCCCATTGGTAGGAGTCCCACAAGAAGATCAAGCTATACAACCATAACATATATGTAGAGGTCCTAGGTTAGAGACATGCATGCTCCCTGGTTGTTGGTTCAGTTTCTGTGAACCCCTATTGAGTCCAGGTTAGTTAACTGTGTGGGTTTTCTTATGGTGTTCTTGACCCCCTCTAGTTTCCACAATTCACCACCACCACCACCACCACCACCACCACCACCACCACCACCACCACTATTTTGCAGGATTCTCTGAGTTCTGCCTAATGTTTGGCTGTGGATCTCTGCCTTTGCTTCCATCTGTTGTTGGATGAAGCCTCTCTGATGACACATTATTCTAGGCTCCATTCTATGAGTACAGCAGAGTATCATTAGGAATCATTTCATTGAATTTTTTTTCAGTCATGTTTGATTCTATCCTAGATTTCTGTGCTATCAACCTTCTGGTCCCTGGCCCTCCAGGAAGTGTTAGGGGTGGACTCCCTCTTGCAGCATGAGTCGAGTCTCAAGCTTAATCAGTCATTGGTTTGTC